TAATATATTGAGATATGGGATTGTGATTAAATATTATAAGTTGGACGATGCATTAATAAGAGATTAGCTACAACTATGCTAATTAATTCCTTCTTTTTGCTCCCTTTGCGTGCTTTTTTTGCAAAAAAGTTTGAAGATAAATTTAAGTTTCCTCGACGTTTCAAGTCATTATGAATCGAATGAGAGCATAATATAACCAGTGGGGTGCATGGCATCGTGCTTTAAGGCAAATTGCTGGAACTTTCCGTACATTGTCTAATATTTATAAAAATTATATAAACTGAAATGCAATATTGAAATTATTTGTTTAAAGTATATTAGAACTTTAATTCGAATTAAACTTAATATCTGAATTATTTTCAATATACAAAAAAAAAATTTTTTAAAAAAAACACACATTTTTTCTAAAAGCAATTATTTTGTTGAAACAAGCATAAACAGTTCTTTGTATCATTCAAATCGGACGCTTAGTTCTCTCAAAAATTGCCATTTTTTGTACATTTAGCTTTGTATCTTCAAAATGGCTGAACCTGTCTTTGCTAAAAACTAATCACCTATTCTCCCAATCATTACAAATTGAATGTTTTTTAGATCAATCAAATCGGATTCTCCGTTCTCTCAAAAATTTGATTTCTATTTTCTGCAGTCATTGCTCCGTATCTCCGTAATGGCTAGACCTGCCTTTGCCAAAAACATCAGCACATCTTCCTAACAATAGGAATCGATTGATCCGTCGCCTGAAAACGTGGACAAAAAAATGCGGATTTACAAAACACACACACACACATCCATTTTTTCTGAGGTATGCCAAAATGTTCAGAAACCTTCAAAACATCAATAAATGCAAAAAAAAATATATTTGATTTTCGCCCCATTACTATAACTACCCTACGGGAAGTTAAAAAGTATGTATGTGTATGTGAACCGTTTTTTGACCTTTTGTCGACGATTTCTCAAAAACGGCTTGACCGATTTCAAAATTTTCAGAAAGCGATCGACAAGAACTAACTAAGTTTGATTAGTTTTGCTCGACCACCAACTAGCAATTTTTTTATGAATAGCAGAAGATCATAAAAAATTTTGTCGACGTTTCAGCTCACGATGCTTAATCTACATAAATAATTCAAAATTCAAGAACCGATAGAAAGATATTGGATGGAAATCGTGCTGATTAGTTTTAAATAAAGATCTCCCAGACCGTCCCATAGATTTCCGTATCCCATAGATTCTACGTAATTAACTGCTGAAAAAATAATTAGGTTATGACGATTTTTATGAAATTCTTTTGACGATAGAGATCATTGTCTTACAGAACATACTAAATTATTACAAAAAACATCGTTTGTTATTAAAATTATAAAAATTTCAAAAATTTGTTGCATTTTTTGAAGGAAGTTTAAATTTAATGTTTACCGAAAACTCTTGAATCGATTTCAAAAATTCAGAAAACATGCAATGAAATTTGTTAGACTGATTTGGATTATTTTCGAAATAAAGAGTTCTTTGGATGAATAGATATTTTGAATTACCGATCTCTTTTATTGATAATCGCATAAGTTGGTAGTCAAAAACTGTCAAAAAGCTGTATATTTGCGTTAAAACCTTACCTTCAAATGACACAAATGTCAGAATATATATTAACTAGTGGGGCGCAGGGCATCGTGCCTTAAGGTAAATTGCTGGAACTTCCCGTACCCAAAATTATTTTTTTTTAAAAAAGAAGACAAAAATTTACTTTTTTTTGAAAAAAAAAACAGTATTTTTGAAGACAAAATTATTTTGAAATATTTTGGAAATTTTGAACTTTTTTTCAAAGCAATCGTACTGCTTTAACTGCGTAGACACAAAATATCAAAGCGCGTAAGCGCCGCATCGCCGTCTAACAGATAAACATTGGTACGGAACCCATAGGAATGTAAACAAAATTTATACTTGTTGTTAAAATCTTTATAAATTATCTGATAATTTGATGTGCATATGTATAATGATCATTTTTGACCGCCAAATGGCTTTTTTTAACTTTTTGTACTAGATCTTCGAAACCGCTAGATCTGCCTTCCGAAAACCAGTTACCAGTTGTTCATTTTATCAGTACAATTTTTTGTTTTCGAATTATTAAAATCGGACGCTCCGTTCTCTTAAAAACTGAATTACCGTTTGTGGCGGAACGGCTAGACCTGCCTTCGCCAAAAACTAATCAGCACGTTTCCTTATCAATAGGAATCGAATGTTTTTTAAATTACTTAAATCGGTTGATCAGTGTTCCCAAAATCGTCGACTAAAATTTGTATCCGCACATACACACACACACACGCACACACATACACACACACATACATCCATTTTTTCTAAGTTATGCCAAAATATTCAGAGACCTTTGAAACGTAAAGATATATAAAAATTTTCATTTTCAATTTTTTTGCTATTTACTATAACTTGCCCTACGGGAAGTTAGTTAGACTTCACGCGTGTGTTACCATAAGTGAGAATAAAAATTGCGCTCATGATAACATTGTCATCTGACATTTGTAGGTTAGGATTGTCAGCCGTGCTTAGATGTCGATGCTGTTTGGTATGAATGTTGGTATGAGTAATAGTATTGATCTATATAAGTTTAGCTATGATTGGATGATAGTGACAATAGAATAATGAATATATAGTAGTAGAGAACAGTTAATGAGAGATCATAGTGAGATGAGCGGATAATGATATAGAGAAGAATAATGTAATAGAGTGGAGACAATAAATGAATATTTTATATTAGCAGGTTTATCATTTTATCTGGAGAATTGGCTCAATAAACTTACCAAATGCCACTAACACAGATTCACCTAAATTTGGATTTGTCACAGTAATCACAGTGTTTTTATTTATTCTCCAATGTAAATATAACCTGAATCGTTGGCGTCAATTTGCTAAGCTTTGCTCTCGACGAGTATATTCTCTGCACATCATTCAACCGCTCCCGCAAACGCATTCGTACATTAGCCCGGACGGCGGTAATGAAACGTTATCGCTTGGCCGGCAGAGCGTTCTCCATCACGAACGTTCGATAGTCCGCGGTCACGGTGCGAACTGGTCATGCGGTTTGGGACCCATTTCGTTGCAAATATCCGCTTCAAGTTGCCGCGGTTTCTATTATTATCGCACATTAGGGCATTATCGGCGGCATAATTTATACCGCAGCGCAATATCGACGGCGTTCGATTGACCACTTCGAAGCCGCTTGTACTAAGCTGTATTATAATTCGGAAAGTTTTATCAGGTTATAAATAATCTAAATTCAAATTTTTAACTTTACGTAGAGTAAGTTATAGTAATCGCAAAAAAATCGAATATAAAATTTTTGCATATCTTTACATTTTAAGGTTTTTTCAACATTATGGAATACCGTTAAAAATGGCAACCGCGGTTGTATATGTGTAGTATGTATGTAACTTTGTATGTATGTTCTGACACAAATTTTAGTTCACGATTTCGAGAGCACTGATCAATCGATTTGAATGATTCAACAAATATTCGGTTTCTATTGATATAAATTTTGTGCAAAGGCAGGTCTAGCCTAGAACGGAGCACCCGATTTGTTTGATTCTGAAAACATTTTACGTGTATAAACGGAAAGCAAAACTGGTTTAATTTTTGGGTGAGCAAGTACAGCGGTTTTGGGATCCAATAAAAAATTAAAGAATGTCATATGGCGATCATAAACAATTATTAGACATGTGAATTCTAGAATATTTAATATTTTTTAGAGATATCAATAATAGGTACAAATTTTGTTTACATTACATAATATTAACATATTGCTAAAATATTTAATGAGATTATTTGTCTACATATCTACATAAAAATATAAACATTCAAATAGTAAATAAATAAATAATAATATTATATAACTTACTATGTTTAACTGCTTTAAATAATAATTGTACTTAAAATTATTTGATTAATAATCAATTATATAAGTATTCACAGTTGTATAATTGTGTTGGGAGGAATTTTATATTGGAAATAATAGGTTGTAAAAATGTTTCTAATATATTAAACACCGTGGCGTAAGTTATTATTTTCTTATAATTTGAATGTTTTAATTAGAATTTTAAGGACAAATAAAATGTTAGATCTGATTATTCAATTATACGAACAACTATTAATAATAATTATCAATTATATTTATTAGAATCTTATAAGCAATATTATAGGCGTGTGATTTTTGCTAACCATATTACAATTACGTTATAATGAGTTAATAAACATTCTAATTTATTTCAACAACAGAACTTGATTCATTGTTATTTTTAGTAGAGCAAATCCACTTTCAAAGTGTAATCCAAAAGAAAAAAAAACTAAAAGAAACTTTAAATGAGAATACTTCTCTACAACAATTCTCTGCAATTGAATTAATTGAACACGTAGTTAAAAAGCTCAACTTTATTTTATTCTGTTCAGTCTATGCATGGTGCATTATATTAATATATGAGGGAATTAAGTTAAATATTTAGAATGTCAGCATACATAATATAAAATCGCCGCTAATTTTAATCATTTTATATTGATAGTAAATAAAACCTGCGCTTGATTTGCATATAGAGGGGTACTCGAATCGAATCCTTGTCTAGTACTTGCTTATAAAAATAAGTTGATTAACTCGAATTAATGAATATAGACTTGAGAAATTGTGCTTTAACAAAGAATAAAGAACGAAAAAAATATTGATGCTCTATAATAATTACTAGAACTTCTCGTACCATATTTTAAAATTTTTGCAAGCTTGAAAATTAAAAAAAAGTTTTTTTCAAAAGTTTGGAATTTTGTGGCAATTGCTTGTTCAATGCTAAAAAAGAATTGATTGTAACTTTGACCAATTACTCAATTTTTAAGTTTATTTACATGGTAAAATGTAATGTCAACATGTTCATTTATATTTAACATGTTTTTTAATATTCGAATGTTATTAGAAATTTTTTCGAACAATGTTGTAATATACTTTATAATTACAGATATTCCAAAACCAACAACTACCACAACCACAACGACGACGACCACGACGATGGCAACAACCACTCAAGTCTGGCCTACGCATGATCGAGGTAAATAACATCAAATTTTGTATATTTGGAAAGAAATATTCTGGAATTTATAATAAATATTATTAATATCAATACAGCTTTTACCATGCTCATATTAGGTTTCTACAATTTTTTGCCATTTTTGAGAACCAATCAAGTTTTGGCTCACTTACAAGACAACGACTTATACACATACATATTATTTTTTTAATTTGATTCAGCATAACTGGAAATTTCGGAAAAAGAAAAAACAAGAAGTAATCAGTGTTGAAGAGAAGAACAGAAAACTCTTCTTCTTCTGCAAGTTACTCAGTTAATCACGAATTGTTATTTGATTAAAATACTAGAACTTTACTTAGTCACATTGATTTTAGTGACATTAATTTCTTACATATCTCATTAACGAATTACTCTCGTAGTTTCGTAATGTATGGCTTTAAATTGAGTTAATAAATTCAAAGCATTTTGCATATTCCAGGCGAGATAATTGAGAGGATCTCTAGACCAGATTTCCCAGACTTTCCGGATGTCATTCACGAGCCAGAGAACGAACTTCCGGAGCACACTGCGTTGCCGCTACCTCGGGAACGCGGTAAATATTACAACTGCGCATCACAATTAGAAAATAGTGATGAATTAGTACGACAAAACTAACAATATAAAACAATAACGAATATATAACAATAATGAATTGAACGTATTAATATAGGGTATAATATAGCGGGACACAAAGGTCCAATTCGACTTTGTGAAAACCAAACCAATAATATCACAATAAATAACACATATTAAACAAACTATCTGACTATGTTCAGTAAAACTCCCATCAAATTCATCATTATAGAAATATGTATTTTTGCTGTTTTTTACCTTCACCTAAATTTGCCACCTGGTCCTCTTCACTTTACGGGCGGGGTAAAATGGGACGGCCAGGGGGCAAACAAGACCAATGTCTTATCAATTTTTTTTTATTTTATGTTATTTGAACAGCAATCAGAACTTATGGGTCCTATAAACTGTTGTGATTAGTTTCTTACAAATTACGTTTGTTTTTTATTATAGATGGCAACCCAAACAGTTGTTTCATCTCTATGTGATGAATTTTATTATTACAATTATTGTAATAGTGATGACTTTTTCTTGGTGCAGTAATGCCGTATCAAGGTTGTTTTCACTTAGAAAAAAATTGATATCTATATTTCCAAGTGAAAACCGTTGTCACTACTTATCAATTTTAAAGAAATTTTACGAAATAATAGCTACATTATTTAATCAATGCAGAATATTAATCCGATGAATACATTTTTTACGGAGATAACACTGTATATAACCTTGATCTGGTATTTTGTCAGAAATATTTATAAACAGAGTTGAAATAACTATTTATTTAATTTATCTCTTGTAAAGTTGCATTTTTTACCTAAATTATTTCTTTATTTTTATTTAGTAATCGTACCTATACTTAAAAATTATATTAAGATCACGTAACAACTGTGCTCACAACCAAAAAAACTAACAAAGAAAGAAAATGCTTTTGTTATGAATTTTTAAACATAGTCGTTTATCTCGCAAGAAAAATCGTTGTAAAAATCAAGGCGATGGCTGGTTATTCATTTTTTCACCTCTACTTTCAAATATTGTCGTTAAAATATTTCTAATTTCACTTATTTTTGAGATATCGGTGGTGGACCTTTTTTATCCGCGTACCTTTAGGTCCCACTCTACCCAACGTCTGTACCTATTAAAATAATTTTAAAAAAAATAATAGAAATAATTTGAAGAAAATTATTAATCGTATTCTTGAAGTATGTGCCATTAATCTTATGCTCAAAATTAACAACAATAGGTCAATGATACCAAAAAATATTGAACATAATTTTCTAGAATTTTTTATCAACCGAATAATAATATTGGAAAAACTCATAATAATTATAAAGAAATTTTCAATTGTATTCTTGCTAGATTTTTTATCAGTTTTGTCAAATCTTCTTAGTTCATTGAATGATATAATAAATCTATAATGAAGCTCACAAGGAGAATCTTCAGTTTATTCACATGAGTATTTGATGAAACTTAGCACAATAATAAAGTTTATAGACAAACTGAACACTTTAAAATATTATATGGCTATGAAAAGTTGAATTTTTTTAATTTGTGATCAAAATGAAGTTGTTTTCAAAATTTTTATTCATTTGTCCCTAAGTTTTATAACCTAGAGTCTGAAAAACAATTAGAATTTTACCCATTTTATTACCATAAGAAACTCTGTTTGAAGTGCAAACTATCTTAAAGTTTATATTAAGCGTTAAAATTTTTTGAAAATTTTATTTAACAAATTGAAAGCATTTGTGAGACTCAGACCATATTAAAGATCACGCTAATGTTAACATAACAAAATATCAGATCTTTGGTGTATATTACCAACTAACATTACCAACAATCAGATTGGTAACTAACGTTACCAACAATCAGATCATTGTTGTATATTTAACAAAAATTAAAGAAAACATAATTAAAATTAACGGAGAATCTATTTATTACGTGGGATCAGAAAGACAAAGAAAGAATTATGTTGTAAAAAAAATATATATAAAAATTCCTACGTTCGTGCGCTTTGATTTGTATGACAATTGTGGTTGAAAAAATATTTTTCTTTAATGAAGAATTGAGCGTGGGCATATCTCAAAACCAAGGAAATGTTTGAATTGAATGTCACTGTAACTTTTGGACCTGTGGAATATTTTCATTTGACGAATCCTACGCTCTGGAAAGCGAGTTTTTATATCATTTTTTTAAAATTGCATAATGTATTTAATACGTCGTGTAATTTAAATTATATAATGTTACTCAGTTTTTTTTTACAAAATGTTTTGAATTTTGGAATACTTTATACAGAAGATAGAGAATAATTATTTTGATAATTATTTATTGCTTGTTTGTAAGTACATATATCTATGACATTTAAGAAAACTATAACATAAAAATTAGAATTTTTCAATTTAGCTTTGTTCAAACTTTTATCATTTTACTTTAACCATGAAGTTCCATTAATTCTTCTAGATCTTCGTCTTCGAGGCAGACCTCAAGAAGACGACGACAACCATATAGCTGAAGACATTTCCAGCGAAAGCAGAAAACCCACGTTAAATCGTTGTAATATAAATGTACCCCAAATATTAAATATTATTATATTATTGTACATTGCAGTTTTACATCAAAATGGCATATGTGTGCTGAGTAACTTGTTAACATATTTATAAAACTGATTAGGTGAGTGTATGGAAAAATGACTTATAATAATGTATACGTTGACTATACATTTATAAAATTCGATATTGTGTGAAAAATCATATTTTTGGGTTCTGATTACATTAACTCTTTTATAGCTTCTAATATTTTGAAAGCATTATTTATTTAAATATTAATCGATGAAAAGGCTAAATTATTCGTTATAGTAGAGAGTACAGATTTTTGTTAAAACTATTTTCTGTTTTCTATTCGATCCAATAATTTTTTTTAAATTAAATTTTTTGGGTATTAATAATTTGAAAAGATTATTTAAATATGGACGAGCTTCAAAGTTATTTATATGCGGAGAGCCTAAAATGATTTCAAAACTTTTTGTATCAAACTTGACAAGTTTGGTAAAAATGCAATAAAACTAGGAAAACAAGTGTATTAGATTATGTCTAAAGCGAATGCAATTTTTTTCAAATCACGCAAAGGATTTAAAATGTAAATTAAATGTAAATTTTTAATTTGTGTATTTGAATAAGTTATGAATTCCCATGATTTTTTCATTATGACTCCTTAATATTTTTCGCATACAATATGTTAATGTTATGACAATATTTATAATGTAAAATAACAAATCGTTAATTATAAAATGAAGAATATTTAGGCGACCTCAAAATTCTTACGTTATTTTAAAATTATCTTTATTTTGATAAAAGCGAAAAAGTGTCGATTGATTAGTATTTTGATCAATTTTATCATTATATTAAATTCAAATAATTTTTCAACGGTTTTTTTCATATTGTGGTTGCTTATTATTCAAATTATGAATTTAAAATTTGCTATATACTTATTATGCTTATAATGCTATTAATTAACATGATGTATCTATTTAAACTAATATTATTTATCTTAATATATAATATAAATATTTTATACAATATTTTGTATATATTTAGTACTGGTCATAATAATTAATATTTATTGGAATTTTTGCGTGAGGGTTTTAAATGTATATACATTTTAACGTTGTTTATTTAAATTTGTAATTTGTATTAAATCTGTAAATAAGAGATCATGTAAATAATATGTTAATTTTTAAGAATGTACAAAATAAATTTTTAGAATGTTAAGAAATGTATAATATAATTTTGATTAGATTCTGTATATAATAACAAATCGCTTAAATAAAACTTAATATAAAAGTGGATATATAATTTATAATGTATTGATACTGATGTTGATATTGATTTTATATTGTACTTAGAAGAGAGTAGCAATGGAAAGGACTCTACTGAGCACGATCATAAAGAGAAAAGGAAACTAGATTGGACAGCAAATAAAGTGTCTGGGGCACGACGTTGTCAAAGGAGAAATAGAAAAACTGAATGATATAGGAAGAAGAAGAATGCAGATGATTGACTACTTGCAAGAAAGGTGGAAATTAAAGGCAATTAATGCAAAGGTAGCATTAAAGCAAACATTTGAAAATATGAATAATAACTAAGGTGATAATAATAATAATAATGACAGGGGAATCTATATTTGATGGTCTTACACCATAAACCTGCCGTCGGGCAGATCAATTATTCTTATTTTTTATTTTACAATACTAAAATAAAGTACAAAAATGAGTCAAACTTAAATAAAAACGTTATAATCTTTTTATTCAACATTATTCTGCGATATTACTACAAAAATAATAACCAGAGACTGCTATTAATATATACAGAGAAAATAATATAGATTGTAGATTAGTACATATACCCAACAATGTATCAACTAGGAGTAAAACGTTATAAAAATATGAACATTTAAGCGAAAGTGTAATCCTATAACTTTCAACAAAATTTCAACTCTATTATATACCACTTATTTTTAATACCGTTTAGTATCAGCTCACTCATTTTTATTCATATTTGATATCATTATCCGAACTTTTTACCATGGAAACAACTGCAAAACTCGTTGCCATCGCGGCATATTCCTTGTTCATATTTTAGAGTTCTGCAGTCCCATTGGCTGTTGATAAGTCCAAGAAAGAGTTGAGATAATTACATCCAAAATTTTGGGATCCCTTCTCCTCAGCAATTTTTTTCAAATAAGGCATTATGAGTTCATCTTCTACAATATTTACAAAATATTATAAATTACAATATATACAAAAAATTAATTTTAATTTATATATAAACATTTAAAAAAATATACATTTAAAATACTTGATATCTTACTAGCTTTCTTTTTTGCCTCTTCCACGAGTTCCTTAAATTCCTCCAATTGCCTTTTTTGTTCATTCAATACACTTTTAGGTAATGTCATTGGACCCCCAAATCTTCTTACACTTGATCCATAGTGAAAGCAAATCATCGATAAAATTAGAGAAACAAATACTATTGAGTTCATGATGAAAATAAAAGAATATTACGATAATTTCTATTCACTGAGCGTCGCACAAACTGATTAGAACTGAAGACACTACGAAATTTATATTTTGTTCTTGTAATACAATAATTATTTATTTTAAAACATTGTTTTAAAGTTTGTCAATATTGCGATTTTTTTTTTTAATTGAGAAATTACATCAGAAATAAATCTAATTTGGGTATTGCAACATAATATTTACATATAACAAGAAAGTAATATTTACTAAATAAATATTCTGTGCAACATGTATTGCTGAATTAAAAAATTGCAAAAAATTGGCATTCAATTGGAACCAATATAATGAGGAAAATCATAGTGTCATACAACTACTTCATTTTTAGTATTAATTTGAAGGCTATATGTATTTGAAATTATAAACATAAATTGAATGTTTTTATCCTGCGTAGATTGTTGCTTGAAGACTATTTTCTATGAACTGTTAGACTAGTTGAAAGTGGCATTTTGCCTAAAGGCAAGTTGCAAAAACTTCCCGATGTAATAATTGACTTAATCAACCGAAATAGATATTTAGATATTTAATTAAAATAACTGTTTATTTCAAAAGTTATATTTCATTTTTATTTTGCGATATATTAATACAAAAATAATAAGCAGAGACTGCTAAGAATATAAACCAAGGAAATTAATATTGATTATAAATTAGTAATCTCGACAGCATATCTACTAGGATAAAACAAAATAAAAATAAAGACATTGAAGCGTAAGTATACTTCTATAACTCAAAAAAATTACAACTACTTCAAATATTTTTTGGCAAATTGTTGTTTCACGATTAATAAAAGATAAAAATTGTCAACTAAAAAATTAACCGAATGAACATTGTCAACGAAAACATAGTGTGGTATAACTTCATTTTCATCATCAGTATGGTATTGTGTATTTGGAATAATGTATATCGAATGTTTTATTGTGGCTTATTATTTGAATTGTAAAAAATAGTTATAATTTCGTAAAACTCGTATATTTACAAAAAAGTCTTCTATGATTTTAAATTCGTTGTAAAAATAATTGAACCCATTTTCGTTGTTTTTCCAACATGCCCCTTTAGTATACAATGTCCCTTTTATGGCCGACTATTGTAAATTCCACAAATTTGTTAAATGTCTTTAACTGGACAGTTGTAAATAAAAATAGAGAATAATTAGTGCATAAACTTTATCGCAATGTTAATTTTAAATTGTTCAAAAAATATTTTTCAACAATTAATTACAAAAAAATATGCCAGCGAATCTATACCAAAAACTAATCAATATTATCGCTCGTATATTATCGCTGTCAATTAACATACATTCGCATACATCGCTGTCAGTTACCATAAATTTATTGCATTTGTTTAATTTATAAATATTACCTTTTCCAGATTTTCATGTACGAGGCGGTCGACCTCAAGAAGACGACGACAACCGCATAGTGGAAGACTTCACCAACGAAAGTAGAAAACCCATGTTAAATCGTTGTAAGATATATGAATGAACCACAGATATTAAATATTATTCTGTTATCACACCTTCAGTTTTACAACAAATTGGAAAAAAATTGCTGTGAAATTTGTTAACATATTTATAAACCTAAGATCCTGAGTGTTTGAGAAACTGCCCCATAATAAAACATTTGTCGGATATAAAATTATAGAACCTATATTAGGTCAATCAAATTTTTCATTTTGCACTTTTTTATTTTTATAACTAATTATGTAGTTTCCAATATTTTTAAATATTTTTATTCCCAAGTTTTCTTGAATTATAATGTGAATTAGATAAATTTATCATTACAATATTAATTACAGAATTTTTTAAAACTATATTATAAAATAATTTGGATCCATGATTTATATACATAATAAAAGCGTTATAACTTTGGAGACATTTACGCAAAAGTATACTTCTATGAAATAAGAAAATCTTATTTATTCTTAATAACAAGGATGTATAAATTCACTCATTTTCATCCATATTTTATATCTTTATCCAAACCCTCTGCCCTGGAAAGCAACTGCAAACATCTTTGCCATTACGACATATTCCTTGTTCAAATTTTAGAGTTCTGCAATCCCACTGGCATACTTGAAGTTGATAATTCCTTGAGAATGAGTTGAGGTATTCGCATCCAAAATTCTTCGTTTTTTTTTCTTTAGCAACTTTTAGTAAATAAGGCATAATGAGTTGATCCCCTGTAAAATTAATTTTATTCAATCATATTTCAGGTAAAATGCAGTATCTATTGCTACCTTGCCCTTTAGCTTCATCCATGAGAACCTTAAATTCTGCCAATTTCCTTTTTTTTTCATCCATTTCACGTTTAGATATAGTCATTGGACCGTAAAATCTTCTTTGACTCGATCCATAGTCAAAACAAACCATCGATATAAATAAGAAAAGGAATACAATAGATTTCATGATGTGCATTAAAAAATTAATATATCAATTTTTATTTTTTGAATATTACGCTTACAAAACATAACTCGAGAATACAAAGTCGAGTCAACAAAATTTATTTTAGATCTGTTGTAATTTAATACTTTATTGGTTATAAAAAATAATTTGGTGAATTTTGCAAAATAATACGTATACAAATTATGAAAGAACATTTTGAAATAAATAATATTTATTTACAAAATACTAATTGCAAATAATATGATAATAATATTTTGTGCAAATTGTGTAGCGCAAAAAAATGCCAATTGCTGTCAGATGTAAAACAGCGCCTCATTTTTTTTTATCAGCTGGGTTTAAGCTAAGTTTATTCGAAAGAATATATCGAATGTGAATATTATAGACAGTTACTTGATGTTTGTTTTATATTATGTAATGTGTTCTATGCGAACAGTTGCGATGTAATTTCAGAACATAGTGTTTTTGGAAGGCAACCCAGAGAATGACCATTATCTTTTTCATTACATTAAAAATCTTTGCGAAAAATTGTATATAACAATATTTTTTTCAATGAATATCAATCAGCTACTATAAACAATTTATTTTGTTGTAAATACAGTAATATAATTTTCAAACTTTATAGCAATACTAGCTTTAGCGTTTAAAACGTATATTTCTCCGATAAAAAATGTTCTATACCCTATATAGCGTACAATTTAAGGTTTCGTGAAGTTGTACTGTTTGTGTTTGATTTTTATTAAATAACCTTAATACAAATATAAATACAAATACATTACATACATGAAACATTAATTCGTTTATTATAATAGTGAATAATAAACGATGTAAAAATTGATTAAACGTAGTGCGATCTGTACATATTCCACCACAGTTCTGAAGCATTTGGTGCGGTTCTCATACAGAAGCCTCACGCTTGTTTTTACAGATGGCATTGGTTGGTCGGAATAACTGTTTCCCTTCACATCTACCAAAATATTATTTAGCATTAATTGTGCCAAAATTTGCCAAAATATTATTTAGCATTAATTGTGGAATCTATTGTGTTGAATAACTGAATCAGCATTATTATCAGGTAATAAATAATCCTTGCTCTAAATGTATTTCATTTTGTTGAAATTCTGTTATAGTCAGATTTTTATTTTATTTACTATTTATAACTAATATTATTATTTTTTTTTCAGATTAAGAAAAAATGTTGCAATTGAAAAGAGAAGCCAGAGAAGAAGGAGAAAGATGCCGAGTGATGTGTTTATGGCTACCGGCGGCTTGTCGGTATAACTGATCGCTATCTTCGCAGCGCAACGAGCTTTGCACAATACAGGTGCGTATTTACTCCTGTTGTTATTTACTTAATGCATATGAAATGTTTATTTTTTAATTATTTATTACTCAAAAATATTATTTTGTTTTCAAGACAGTAATATTTAAATACATTTATTACTTTCAATGGGCCCAGTGGAGGCGAAATCGATTCGAACGTGGGCTAGCCCCAAAACTAGTCCCGGGTTCGCTGGTTCGATTCCCGCTACCGCTAAAGCCCGACATTAGGCAGCT